CCGGGGTCATGCGCGCGGCCTTCAGCTGCTTGATGGCCACGGTGCCCGGGCAGCCCAGCCGGTCGGAGATGCCGGCCCCGACGGCGCGCGCCGCGAACACCGACGCCTGGGTCCCGGCGCCCAGTGCCTCCTCGTTGAGCGGCGAGAAGTCGCTGGCGATGCTGACCAGGATGCTGCCCGGGAGGGACAGCTCCAGCATGGTGTTCATCACGGTGGCGTCCTCGTCGTCGTGGGTCTGCATGAGTGGGGTAAGTGACATTCCTGGAGACCGGGGAGCAAAGACTAGCACGCACCTTGCTCGAGTGCCTCCGCTGACGCCGGAGGCGAAGGTAAAGTACAAGAACAAGCGCCACGAGGAGGATGAGCAGCAACAGCCCGAGGCCGATGCCTAGACCAAGGGCTGCACAGAGAGCCACACGTCAGACGGGCGAGCAAGGGGGGGGGGGCATCACAAATGGGCAACAGGCGCCGCGCACCGAGCTGGCGCTTGCCAGAGTTGTTGGCGAGACAGTCTGCCTCCTCGGGTCCGATGCATCTGTCGCACCCGACGTGGCAGGGCGCGCAGGCCGGCGCCGGCGCGTCGCGATCCGCGAACGTCCCGTCCGGGCAGCTGGCCACACACGCACCCCCCAGCACCAGCAGGCCGGCCTCGCACTCGAGGCACACGTCGGCCACCGGGCAGGACAGCTCCCCGCCCGGGCCGAAGGCGCACTCCGGCAGCCCGGCGCCGGCGGCGCACCGCAAGCACCCCGCCTGGCAGCCGAGGCACACCCGCGCCGGGACCGGCGGCAAGGCATGCACACGCTCGACTGGTGCTGCTCGCTCCTCCGGGCACCTGCTCACACAGGCCCCGGCGTCCACATGCAGCCAGGCACCCGGGTCCGCGCACGAGGTGCAGTGCTCGGCCGCGCCGAAGCATGCCCGGCAGGGGGGGCCGCATGGGGCGCAGGTGCCGGGGCCCACGCTGTACTCGCCGGCCGGGCAGTCGGCAACGCACTCGCCGGTCGACGGGGACAGGGCAAAGCCCGCCGCGCACGCCCGGCACGAGGATGTGCACCCGAGGTCGGGCGTGTCGACGAGCACCATGCACTCGGCACAGCGCTCGGCGCAGGGCTCGCACTTCGTCGTGACCCCGCAGCCGAAGGTGCCAGCCGGGCAGACACCCACACACGTGCCCATGTGCAGCCGGCCGGCGCCGGCGCAGGCCGTGCACTGATCGGCCCCGGGCCCGGTGCACCCGGCGCACGAGCCATCGCAGGGCACGCACATGCGCCCGGCCGTGCCATGGTCCTTTGTCAAATACCCCTCCGAGCAGGACACCACGCAGACGCCGTCAAGCAGGGCTCGGTCCCCCGGGCAGGCCGTGCACTCAGCGGCCCCGGGCCCGGAGCACGCACCGCAGGTCGGACTGCACGGCAGACATGTTTCTCCGCTCTGGAAGGTGCCGGCCGGGCAGGCGGCCAGGCAGCGGCCGTCCACCAGGAGCGGGGCATCCGCACCGCACGTCAGGCAGTGCGCCGGCCCCGGGCCGTAGCATGTGCCGCAGGACTCGTGACAGGTGGCACACAGACCGCCCAGGGCCACCGAGGAGCCGGGGCACTCGTCGACACAGGCCGGGCCGGCCAGCAGCCACCCGCGCTCGCACAGGGCGCAGGTGTCCGGCGACCCGGGGCAGCTGGAGCAGTGCGCCGCGCACTGGCGGCA